TGGGCAATGAGGGAGACCCCATCTCTACAAAAAATTTAAACATTAGCCAGGTGCGGTGGCATGCACCTATAGTCCCAGCTACTCAAGAGCCTTACGTGGGAGGATCAATTGAGCCTGGATGGTCAAAGCTGCAGTGAGCTGTGATTGTGCCACTGCACTCCAGCCTAGGTGACAGAGCAAGAACCTGTCTCAAAAAAAAAATCTTGAATTTAATTTCTCAGAGGAAACGAATGTTGTATGATATTCTTATTATTGGAAGGCATATCAACACTAAAAGAAATGTAGCTTAATTAAATTATGAATTTTACAGATGTTATAAAAGAATCACTAGAATGTAACCCCAATAGAAGATACCAATTAGATTTTATTTCCCTTTTCAATTCTGATCCATTGGACATAACTTCCAGGGGTTCTTTGTTGAGAAGGATACTGAGGCAGCGCTTACACTCAGTTGGAAATAATTAATGATTGATTTACAGTGCCTTCTGTGGAAGCCTCCAATGACCTTTACCTTACTATATCCAATGTTCATTTCTCAGTCCTCATTTTACTTCACCTGTTAGTAACAGTTGTACATGGTTCATCACTCCTTCCTCCTTACCTTTCTTCACTTGGCTACTGGTTCCTTTCACATAGCTAACCACTGTTCTCAGTCTCATTTGCAGATTCCACTCACCTTCCCTCTCTCTTAGAGTTGAAGTATTCTAAAACTCAGTCATTGTAACACCTTAGTTCTATCTAAAGTTGCTCCTTAGAGCAGCATGTTCCAATAGAAAAATAATGTGAGCCACAAATGCAAGCCACATATCTAATTTGAAACTTTCTAGTGACTTCATTTAAAAAAAATTCATTAAAAAAAGAAACTTCATTTAATAAAAGAAATTAATATATATCTTATTCAACCCAATAGATCCCAAATATAATCATTTTAATAATATAAACATAGTAATTTTAATATTAAATCTTCTAAATCCAATGTGTTACAGTTACAGAACATCACAATTCAGACTAGCTAATAGCTGTTGTATTGAAAAGCATGGCCCTAGATTATCTCATCCAATTCCTTAATGTAAAATACCATCTACAATCCTGAATACTGAATACTCTCACCTTTTTATTTCTAGCTTGGACCTCTCTCCTGAATTCCAGATGAACTAATGTCTACAATGACCTTTATTAGTTCTTGGAGGCATAACATGTATGTCTAACTTATGTCCAAAACTGAACACCTGGTCTCCAGATTTGCTCTTCTCCATTTTAGTTACTGGCAACTTCATCACTTCAGTTGCTCAGGCCAAAAATGTTGGAGTCAACCTTAACTTTTCTTTTTGTCTCAAACCTCATATTCAATCTACAACTTCTATGATACTATTGGTTCTATATTCAAAAGCTATCCAGAATCTGATTCCATATCTTTTCCTCCACTACAGTACTATGGCCCAAATTCCCATTATATGGGATTACTGAAATAGCATGCAAACTGATCCCCCTTTCTCCTTATAGCAGCCAAATGTCTGTGAATAACATAAACCAGATCATATCACTCATCCGCTCAAAATTCTCCAGGGGCTCCTAATCTTACCCAGGGTAAAAGCCAAAGTCCTTAGAATGACCTTTAGAACTCTAAGATCTGAGCCCAGCCATGGTGGTTCACCTGTAACCCCAGCACTTTGGGAGGCTGAGGCAGGTGGATTGCTTGAGCTCAGGAGTTTCAGACCAGCCTGGGCAACATGGTGAAACCCTGTCTCTAAAAAAACTACAAAAATAGGCCAGTTGTGGTGGAGTCCACCTGTGGCTTCAGCTACTCAGGAAGCTGAAGAGGGAGGATCACTTGAGCCCAGGACGTTGAGGTTGCAGTAAGCCAAAATCGGGTCACTGCACACAGCCTGGGTGGCACAGTGAAGCTCTGTGAAAGAAAAAGAAAGCAAGATAAAGAAAAAAGAGAGAGAGAGGAAGGAAGGAAGGAAGAAGGGAGGGAGGGGAGGGAGGGAAGGAAGAAGGAAGGAAGGAAGAGAGGGAGGAAGGGAGGGAGGAAGGAAGGAAGAAAGGAAGGAGGGAAGGAAGGAAGGAAGGAGCGAACGAACTCTACAGGATCTGGCCCCCTGTTACTTTTCTGTCTTCATCTCCTACAATTTCCCTTGCTTATTCCACTCTAGCCACCCTCACCTCCTACTCTTCCTTGAAAAGGTTTGTCATGGTCTCGCTCGAGGGCCTTTCTTTGGATTTGCTGTACCCTCAGTTATCTCCATGGCTCTCTACCCACAGCCACCACGACCTTGTTTTTTGAGATAGTGTCTCCTGTTATCTAGGCTAGAGTGCAGTGGTATGATCTGGGCTCACTGCTTTGACCTCCCAGGCTCAAGTGATCCTCCCACCTCAGGCTCTGGAGTAGTTAGGACTACAGACTCCTGCCACCACACCCAGCTAATTTTTGTATTTTGTATTTTTTTTTTCTTTTTTTTTTTAAGAGACAGGGTTTCATCATGTTCCCCAGGCTGGTTTCGAACTCCTAAGCTTAAGTGATCTGACCTCCTCAGCCTCCCAAAGTGCTGGGCTTACAGGTGTGCACCACCTTGCCCAGCTTCTTCATCTCTTTCAAGTCTTTGCTGAAATATCTTGGAAAATAATCACTTGAATAAGTGAATGATGTTACATGAATGAATGAATGGTATGACGAGATATGACAGAATAGGTACCATAAGGAAGAGTCAGAGCACTAGTGCCCAATGCTTGCCCTTCTAATAGAAGTTAACACAAATCTAACTTTCAACATTGATTGAACACCCATTATGTAAAACATACATGTATACGATTGGCTGCTATCAGTGAAGGGAAACACTGAAATAATCTTCTTGCTTTGTTAGGTTTTCTTGAACATCTTCAGCACATACAAACAGCTGACCTTAGTCACAGAGAAAGCAGTATCCCCTAACAAATAGGAATATCTTCAGATACCCTGGGGCTTCTCCCTCCTAGGCAATCAGCATCTATACACATAATCCCTCAATCCAGGCACTATTTAAATCACTAAACTACTGGAACACTTGGTTCCATTCCTTACTTTTTTTTTTTTTTTTTTTTTTTTGAGACGGAGTTTCACTCTGTTGCCTAGACTGGAGTGCAGTGGTGCGAGCTCTGCTCACTGCAACCTCCGGCTCCCAGGTTCAAGTGATTCTCCTGCCTCAGCCTCCTGAGCAGCTGGGATTACAGATCTGCACCACCATGCCCAGACTAAAAACAAATTTCGTTTTTTGTTTTTAGTAGACACAGGGTTTCACCATGCTAGTCAGGCTAGCCTCAAACTCCTGACCTCGTGATCCTCCCGACTTGGCCTCCTAAAGTGCTGGGATTACAGGCATTAGCCACGGTGTCCGGTGCAGTCCTTACTCTTAACTTGATGGATAACTAAGTAAATCACTTATTGTCTTAATTCTTTTATCCCTATGATAAAATGTCTAATTTCACCTGGTTCCCAATTCAGGTTGAGATAACAGGACAGTATACACTTGCCTGTTACAAGTTGGCAGAATGTATGCATTACGGAGCTTAAGAAAAAAAAACAAAAAAAACTTTTTTAAAGCTAAGATTTCTAAATAAGGGCTATTTACAACTCATCTTCAGTTTGTGGTAGACTTCAGGTCTTTAGTCTCTCCTTTTTTCTTTTTAGCCTCAGTTTTTCACTTAACACCACTTCTACGCTTGAACTCATTTTAGCTTTTTTGTTCATAACTGCCAATTTTTCAGTCCAACCTAGCTAAAAGCAACGGAGAAACATGATAAACCTGAGTAATCAACCAAAGACATTAGTATGTGTAGTTCACTCCAGGAGTGGATTTGAGCATTGAAGGGTAGGGAGAAGAACACAAAGGATTGAGGGAGCACATGTGGGGGAAACAAGGAAGGATAGTGATGCTAAATTTATAAACACTGCTCGATTCAATCCAAAAAGCGTTTATTGAGTGCAGAGTTCTGTGCTGGTCACTTTAGCAAAGCCAAGATGAGCAAGACACTATGAGTCTCTGTCCTCAAGGAGCTGGGAGTATGAACTAACTGAACTAAAAAGAACACAAATTAGGGCCGGTGCGGTGGCTCAAGCCTGTAATCCCAGCACTTTGGGAGGCCGAGGCGGGTGGATCACGAGGTCAAGAGATCGAGACCATCCTGGTCAACATGATGAAACCCCGTCTCTACTAAAAATACAAAAAATTAGCTGGGCATGGTGGCGCGTGCCTGTAATCCCAGCTACTCAGGAGGCATTGTCTGAACCCAGAAGGCGGAGGTTTCGGTGAGCCGAGATCACGCCATTGCACTCCAGCCTGGGTAACAGGAGCGAAACTCTGTCTCAAAAAAAAAAAAAAAAAAAAGAACACAAATTATTAAAATATCGTTCAGAGTACACAAAGGAAGTCCAAAGAGAAAGAAAGCTGACATTAATTCAAGACGTTTTAATATGCCAGGGCAGTCACGCATATTAACAACCCTTCCAAAAATTCCAGGTAGGCTCATGGATAGGTGACTTGTCATTAAAGCTAGAAAGTTTGTGTAGTCTGGCATTGTCCCTAACCTAGGTTCTGAGGCTCCGGCTCAGAACACTATTGCTAAAGGGAAGCTCGAAGGAGTGGGGGGAGGGGATTAGGTTTTGACTGGATGTGTCTCGGTCGCCGTGGAGGGAACAGGAGGTCAGAAAGCCATTGGGAGGCGTCGTGTGAGATGAGACTACAGGGATAAACCGGAGATTGAGTAGGAACCAGTGGAGGGAAGAGGGAGGGGCTTTTCAGGCTAAGGAAGTAATAAGAGCAATTAGCTGCTCTCATAATTCCTTGAGTCGGGGAGTCAAGTAGGGAGAAAACCTGGCGTCAGCCCCGCCACCAACCCCCCATCCCCCGCAACTTTTCCACCGGGGCATTTAGGTGTTCGCCAATTTCCGCATTAGCAATGTTGTTTTTGTAACTTGAAGAAAAATAAAACCCTCATGTTTTAATACCACTGGATACCTTGTACGGAGGGTGCGAGTCCGGCCGGGAGCCCCTAGCACATCCCGGCCCCTCCGACCCCTCAGCTCGGCCGCCACCTGAGAGCCGTTGGTGTTCGGGAAGGACGCTTCCCGTGGCGGGATCCTCGTCGGTCAGAGGCCGGTCCCGGGCCTGGCGGGGGTTGACCCGCGACTGCTGGGCCGGGGCGGGACCCCGCGCGCACCTGCCCGCGAGGCGGCTGCGCGGACAGACGTTCCAGCCCCTCCCGCCTCGCCGTGTGTTTACGTGGAGACGAAGATGGCGGCGGCGGTGACGGCGCTTCCCGTGCTGCTGAAGACAACCCTCCAGTGAGCGCGGAGACTGCTTCCACTCCGGGCGGGGGAGCGCGGGCCGGCTGTGCGCCCTGGGCCGCGGAGCTCGCCGTCCCACCTCCGTCTTAACCGACCTTTCCTTTCTACCCCCGACCACCCCTTAACCCCTGTGTTCCCCTGCCTTCCTCGCAGAGGCCATGGAGGACGAGGAGAGACAGAAGAAGCTGGAGGCCGGCAAAGCCAAGGTAGGAGAGCCCAAGGCTACCGGGCCTGCTGTGGGAGGCGGTGGCTGGGAAGGGGTGGGAGGCGGTGGCTAGCAAGCGGTGGGAGGGGGCCTGGGAAGCGGAGCTCGCCGCAGCCCCAGTCCACAGCCCGGGAGGGAGGTGCTGCAGGGTCTGCATCGCTCCTCGCCCTCCTCCTTTCCCCTTTTTCCAGTTGGGGGACAAAGCCTTGTGCTACTAGCTAGCTGATAATACTTCCGTGGGGATTGAATATTGTGGCTCCTTTCTCGTAAATGTCCACGTAAAACTCCTCTTTTGTTTTATTGCTGTAAACTAGTGTTTAATTGCTTCTAAGCCTCCAACCTTTCATTTTTTTTGAAGGAGTTTTCTGGGTGGTGCAGGCATTGTGCTTTCCAGGGTGGGGATTTAGGGCTTTTCTTTACTGGGTTGGGGATTTGTCCGCTGATCATCAGCTTGCGTTCCTTAGGTGGCACGCTGGCACTCTTGGGTGTGTGTGATTGGCCTGTGACAGCTGTCTCAGCAGTGGCTTGTGTGTGCCACAAGTGCCAGCTGCGAACTTGGCTTTAGGAGCGTTTTTAGAAGCGTGTCTTTGTATGTTTGTACTTGAAGGTCTTTGTCATGGCATGCGCTTTTGTGTCGTATGCAGTCTGTGAATGGAACTTCTGGGGACCAAAAGGTTCCATATGCCCACTAACACCTATAGAATTCCTGCTTTAAGTAATTTAGTTGTTATATATCCCTCTGGCAAATCTTGATTGTGTGTGTGTGTGTGTGTGTGTGTGTGTGTGTGTGTGTGTATACGTGTATGGAAAAGCCTGTAAAGCAAACAATACAATACACATTTATATACAGGCTTCGTTCATTGGGCTTCATGAGAAATTTGACATATACAAAATATAAACTACGTAGCATATTTCTTTTAAAAATTACGTATTTGAGCATATATTTTGTCTGGCCTCAAAAGCCCCTCCTTCCCTTCAATGAAGTCTTCTTTTATAGATTATATTCTTTTTAGAGATAATTGTTAGCAATCATACTTGGACAAAAAATTGTATTACAGGTAACTGTTTTTTCTGTCTTCCTTTCTTTTCTCTTCCCTGCACATAAAGAAAGGAAACCAGGTTAGTGATTTATTATCAATGAAGGGCCATACTGCAGAGAGGCTCAACCCAAGTTTGTTAAGTGAACACAAACACACACACACACACACACACACACACACACACACACATATACACACTACCTTCATATTTCTAAAATAGAATTGGCTTTCCCATAAGCTCCTTCTCTTTGAGGTCCAGGCTTAAATGGTTTTATGTAGCCAGGTAAATTTTTACTTTCGAATCAATACATGTTGGGAAAGGGGAATCAGGGTATCTTTAGAAGCCCAAAGCTTACATTTGCGCAATCTGAGGGGCTGAGTAAGCTCTATGCATCTAAGGAAGCAGTGGAGGTAAAGTGTATACTCCCTCCAAAAGCATTGAAGATCTGATTAGATGTCTTATTTGTTACCTGAGAATTTTTTTTACCTGCCCCCAGTAGTATCTTTCCTAAATATATGTGAAGTAGTTCTATGAAACATGGTTTACTTTAGACATACATATTTCATAATAGAGGATTTATTTAAATTGCTTGCAGTTGTAGTTGATTTGGCAAAATACAATTTTAGTTTCTTTGTGTGTTTGTCTTTCAAAATTCTGCATATGGGGTACAAACCTTTTTAAGATGAATTTTTGTTATAAAAGATTATCTCCTTTTAAAATTGAGCCCAGTTTTTCCAGTAATATATAAGTCTACGAGACTTGTAAGGCAAGCTATGTTTGCTGCAACGTTAGCTATACAATATAAAAATGCTGACGTTGGGAGCCTGGAGCAGGAGGATCGCTTTGACAACAGAAGTTCAAGACCAGCCTGGGCAACATATTGAGACGCTACAAAATTTTTCTTAAAAAAATAACTGGGCATGGTGGTGTGCACCTGTAGTCCCAGCCACTCGGTAGTCTGAGGTGAGAGGATCACTTGGGCCCAGGAGTTCAAGGCTGCAGTAAGCCATCATCATGCCACTGCACTCCGGCCTGCGCAACAGAATGAGATCCTGTTTCAAAAAACAAAAACAAAAACAAAACAAAACAAAAAACTCTCTGGAAATAACTTTTAAAGACAACATGAAGAGAATCATTTTTCTAAGTTATATTAATATGATGGAATATTTTACAGCCATGAAGATTATGAAGACTGATAAGAACATGAAAAATAATGTAGAAATGGCATTATCAAAAATAGTATATATTTTATTTCATTGTATAAACATGTACTTTCAGATTAGAACTGAAAAACTCTGGATTACAACGTCATTCAGCAAACATATTGAACCCCTATTTTACACCTAGAGGTGGTGACAGTGTCTGCTCTCAAGTTGTTCACTGTTTAATGAGACAGACAGACTCTGGATGTCAGGCACAAAGAGGGATGAGATACAGTAGGATTTGAGGGGATTTTTTCCCACATTTTGTTAAAATATTTTACATGCTGCTATCTCATTTTATAGAATTACTAAGAAGGCTGTTACTATTGATATTAATGTACCCTAATATAATGCCTTTCAAATAGTAGTTATACATATTTGCTTAATGAATGAGCGGAATGATTAATGTGTCATTAATAAGTGTTACTTTACTAGCCTGGATATAATGTATATATGTATTTATTTATTTATTATTATTATTTTTTTGAGACAGAGTTTTGCTCTTGTTACCCAGGCTGGAGTGCAATGGCGCGATCTCGGCTCACCGCAACCTTCGCCTCCTGGGTTCAGGCAATTCTCCTGTCTCAGCCTCCTGAGTGGCTGGGATTACAGGCATGCACCACCATGCCCAGCTAACTTTTTGTATTTTTAGTAAAGACGGGTTTTCACCTTGTTGACCAGGATGGTCTCAATCTCTTGACCTCATGATCCACCTGCCTCGGCCTCCCAAAGTGCTGGTATTACAGGCTTGAGCCACCGCGCTCGGCTAGCCTGGCTATAATTTAATAACAGTAATCTAGAATTCTCTTATTGTGAAATCCATATTGCTGGCATCAGAAACAACTTAAAATGATCATTTTCCAAAATTTATCTGCGACTTGGTTCTCCAAATGTCTCATTTGTTCACTGGACTTAAGTATTGTATTTGATAATCTACTTTCACAAACCACAACTTTTAAATCTTTTTGGGGGTAATTTATTGGTAAACTGTTCCATTGAAAAAATTCACTTTCTTTATCTAAACCTTATAAATGATCACTTTTTTTTTTTCTTTCCGAGATGGAGTCTCTCTCTGTCGCCCAGGCTGGAGTGCAGTGGCACAATCTCAGCTCACTGCAACCTCTTCCTCCTGGGTTCAAGAGATTCTCCTGCCTCAACCTCCTGAGTAGCTGGGACTATAGGTGCATGCCACTATGCCTGGATAATTTTTTGTATTTTTAGTACAGGCAGGTTTTCGCCATGTTATCCAGGATGCTCTCAATCACCTGACCTCATGATCCGCCCACCTCAGCGTCCCAAAGTGCTGGGATTACAGGATTAAGCCACCTTGCCTGGCCTAAATGATCACTTTTTAAATAGTTTGTCATGTATACGTATAATGTATAGTATACTTTATAAAATGTTTCCTTCTAGCTAAAATCTGTAAGAATGGGTTAATAAGTTATGGTATTTAATTCTACAAAGACTTTTTGAGTTCGGAAAATGCCAACAAATGATGCCAGGTTAAAAAGAAAAAAGTTACCAGAAAAAGGTATATTCGTATATTTATATATGAAGACACCTGAAAAAAAGCACCAAGATATAAATCATGGTTATCTCTAGATGATAGGTTATAGGCAATTTTAATTTTCTTTACACTTTTAGTATTTTCCAAATTCTTGATACAATATATCTTTTTTTATAAACAGAAAAGAACGTTCAAATGCCTTTTTTTTTTTTTTTTTTTTTTTTTGAGACAGCCTGTCTCCCAGGCTGCAGTGCTGCAGTAGTGCAATCTCGGCTCATTGTTGACCTTACCTCCCAAGTTCAAGCGATTCTCGTGCCTCAGCCTCCCGAGCAGCTGGGATTATGGGCATGTACCACCACACCTGGCTAATTTTTGTGTTTTTAGTAGAGTTGGGCTTTCATCATGTTGGCCAGGCTGGTCTCAAACTCCTGCCCTCAAGTGATCTGCCTGCCTTGGCCTCCCAAAGTGCTGGGATTACAGGCCTGAGCCACTGCACTCAGCTGCAAATGCCATTTTTAAAAAAAGTAAGGGCTTTTCAAATACATTATATTAAACACATAGTGTATGACCATTATCCAGAACAGGAAAATGAGGCATGGAATAACTAGGTTTCCTCTTTAGTATAGGCCTTGAATTGTAATTCTTATTTCAGTGCAGAGTGTATTAATTATATAGCTGGGATTATATTATTAGACATTGTATAGATCTCCTTTATGTTTTTGTTATTCTTATTCTTTCCTTGCTGTTAGTTCTTATTGCAATGGGCATGCTCTTACTCATCTGCCTATTTTCCTGATTTGCTGTTTTAGATTTGCTGTGATTGAGGAACCCAGAACTGAGGTTGATAGAAAGCTACGTGAAAAAAAAAAAAAAAAATACAAAGGCCTTAGGCTTTTGTAATCCCAGCACTTTAGGAGGCTGAGGTGAGAGGATTGCTTGAGCCCAGGGGTTCTAGACTAGCCTGGGCAATGTACTGAGACCCCCATCTCTAAAAATAAAAAAGTATAAAAAACAAAACAGGTTGGGTACAGTGGCTCATGCCTATAATACAAGCACTTTAGGATGTCAAGGTGGTTGGATCACCTGAGGTCAGGAGTTGGAGACCAGCCCGGCCAACATGGCCAAACCCCATCTCTATTAAAAAATGCAAAAAATTAGCCGGGCGTGGTGGCAGGCACTAATCCTAGCTACTGGGGAGGCAGAGGCAGGAGAGAAACCCAGGAGGCAGAGGTTACAGTGCACCGAAATCGT